AGGGGCATACTACCATGCCCAGATAATTTTTAAAAAAAATTTATCGTAGAGACGAGGTCTTACCATGTTGCCCCAGCTGGTCTCGAACCTGCGGACTCAGGCAATCCTCTTGCCTTGGCCTCCCAAAGTGCTGGGATTATAGGCTTGAGCCACTACACTTGGCCTATTCAGTAAATCTTGAGTGCCTCCTAGGTGCAGGGTATTGTGCTAGATGCTAGTGACAGATAAATTCTCTGTTGAGAAAGACCTTGTTGCCTATTGGAGAATTCAGAAACTCAGAGCATTTTTACTGTGACAGAAGGATTAGAAGACACAATGGAGCCCTCACCTTAAATTGGAGGGAGGCACAGGGACATGGAGATTGAGAAAGTGAAGATTGTCTTTCTGTGTGAGATTGTGTGTATGTAGGGACAGTGGGAAGGGGATAGGTATTGAGTTTTCTCTCTCTTTTTTTGAGTTGAGGTCTTACTCTGTTGCCCAGGCTGGAGTGCAGTGGCATGATCATGGCTTACTGCAGCCTTGACCTCCTGGACTCAGGTGATCCTTTCGCCTCAGTTTCCTGAAAAGTTGGATCTACAGGCATGAGCCACCATGCTTGGATAATTTTTTGATTTTTTTATAGAGACAAGATCTTGCCATGTTGCCCAGGCTGGTCTCTAACTCTTGGGCTCAAGCAGTCCTCCCGCCTTGGCCTCTCAATGTGCTGGGATGACTGGTATGAGCCACCACCCTTGGCAGCATTGACCTTTCTTATTCATGAGCAAAACAGACAAGGAATTGATCATTATTCAATAACATGTGATAGATGGGACACACAACCTCTGGGTAAGCTTCATTCCATATGTTCGGTATTCATTATTCTGTGACTGTAGACCAGCATGCTGCATATTATTGGCAGGAGGAGAGTGTGAGCGGTGGTGACAATGTGATAGTGTTGTTGGCAGGCTTTTATGTGTGCAGTGTCCTGAGAGACACTGGTCTGCATGCAAGTGCTATAAAGCAGTAAATAAGGGTAGGGAATGCGGTCAAAGGGAAGATGGAAGGGTAGAGGCTAGGGTGGGAGGCTGGTGACTTGTAGACCATAGATGAGAGGAGGGGTCAGCAGACTATCCATAAAGGACCCGATTATAAATATTTTCAGCTTTATGGGCCAGACACTTGTGTTACAGCCACTCAGCTGTGGGTGGCACGAATGCAGCCATAGGCAATACAATGTGAATGAGTGTGGCTCTGATCCCACAGCCCTTTGTTTATGAAACAAAAAGCCAGGTATGGTGGCTCATGCCTGTCATCCCGCACTTTGGGAGGTGGAGGCGAGAGGATTGCTTGAGCCCAGGGGTTTGAGACCAGCCTGGGCAAAATAGCGAGACCTCTTCTCTACAGTAAATCAAACAAAATTAGCTGGGTGTGGTGGCATGCAGTTGTAATCCCAGCTACTTGAAAGGCTGAGGTGGAAGGAAGGATCGCCTGAGCCCAGCAGATCGAGGCTGTGGTAGCCATGATGGTGCCCCTGCATTCCAGCCTGGGCAACAGAGTAAGACTCCGACTCAAAAACAAAACAAAACAAACAGAAAACAGATGACTGGCTACAGTGTGCTGATCCCTGGACTAGAATGAAAATTTCTTGAGGATTAGGACTTGGCTTCTTTGTTTTGTTCTCTGCTTTGTCCCATAGCCTAGAAGAATATCTTGTACATATGTAGTAAACACTCACGAATTGTGTTGGCTGAATGGAGTTGAAATTAGTCACCCCCCAAATGGGAGCTTGTGGCGTTTGTGATTGTACATTGCTGTTGTTTTCTGTAATGCTAGGGTTTAGTGCCCAAGTAAGCCAAGTGTTCTTTGTCTTAGAACGTTCAGGTTCAGGTTTGGCTTAATCACTCAGGATTGCTTGGTCTTTATTTGAGTGGGTGTTTTAAAAACCTAGAAAGCCAAGCATGGTGGTTTATGCCTGTAATCCCAGTACTTTGGGTGGCCAAGGTGGTGTAGGGGTTTGAGACCAGCCTGGGCAACTTGAAGAGACCTCATCTCTACAGTAAATCAAAAAATTAGACGGGCATGGTGGCATGAACCTGTAGCCCAGCTACTCAGGAGGCTGAGACTGAAAGATCACCTGAGCCCAGCAGGTTGAGGCTATGGTAGCTGTGAGTGTGCCACTACACTCCAACCTGCATGAAAGAGACTCCAACTCAAGGAAAAAAAAACCTGGAAAGGTTTGCTGACAATGAAGCCTTAGTGAATAACAAGTTTACTTATGGTCATTTTAGACCATTAGCAATTATTAGGTAGCTATTAATAAAGAAAATGCACCAAGAATTATAGGTCAATGCACCGTGAATGTTTACCTATTTATCAATTAATGTGTTATTTTACATTAGCAGAGAAAGGTCACTCCAAGAATAAGAAGTTTCTCTGTTGCAGCTTACTCCTAGTTTACCTGACTCTCGCCGCATTTGTTCGTTGCTTCGGTAGCGCCACTTCCGTTCATGAGCAAAGAGAAAGCTGCATTTCACCCCAGCACCCATCAGCCATTTTACAGTTATGACAGTTCAAGTACAGCAGGCAATGAGTGCCCAGGTCCTCGTGGATGTAAGCCCTGTGGCACGGTTGCCTGTGGACTTGACCACTCACAGCTGTATAGGATCAAGGGACTGGCTACTGTAGTTTATTTGGAAATTCAATTGTCTTTGGTTTGACCTTCTAATTGGTGTAGATCAGGGGTCCTCAACCCTGGCACCAGTTCGTGGCTTGTTAGGAACTAGCTGCACAATGGGAGGTGAGTGCTGGCGAGCCAGTGAAGCTTCCTCTGTATTTACAGCCGCTCCCCATCACTCGCATTACCACCTGAGCTCTGCCTTCTGTCAGCAGCGGAGGCATTAGATTCTTGTAGGAGCGTGAACCCTATTGTGCACTGTGCATGCGAGGGGTCTAGGTTGCACGCTCCTTATGAGAATCTGATGCCTGATGATCAGAGGTGGAGCTGAGGTAGTGATGCTAGTGCTGGAGAGCAGCTACAAATTCAGATTAACATGAGCAGTGACGTTTGACTGCACAGAGACCATAATAAATCAATTGCTTGCAGACTCATATCAAAACCCTATCAGTGAGTGGCAAGTGAGCTGTACTGTACTTTAGTTGTATAGCTGCATCTATCTGGAGGCAGACTTTAAGTCTTATTTTAGTCTGTGCATTATTTTATTTACCACTTCTGTCCATGACTCTTTTTTTGATGAGTTTTATAATTATTTCATTATATATTACAATGTTATAATAGAAATAAACTGTCTTGCATGGAACCAGTCCCTGATGCCAAAAAGATTTGGGACCACTGGTATAGATACTCCTTTCTCTGTAGGATACATTTTGACCTACTTACAAATTCTAAGGAGGGACGGCACAGGATTTTGACAGGACCAGTCTAGGCTGCCATGTCATCGTGCCTGTGTCACTGCAGAGGCCCTGCCCTGAACTCTCCATTGTCCCATTCCTTCTACTTACCATATTTACCATTCTACTTGTTGCCTTCATGATAAAATCAAGCTATTTGTTTTCTTCCTGGGTCTCAGCATAGTCAACACCGCCATCATTTTGCCCACCTTCTTCCTCTTCTCTGTCTGAATATCCACTACCCTCAAACATCCACTGAGTTTGTTTGAAACATACTTGGTCTGACATGTCTATAAATTCTTAAAGGATACCCCTTACCAAAATGATGTTTTCTGCTTCTTAACCAATAATTTTCCATCCCATTTATCTGACTCATTGTTTTGTGTGTGTTGGGGTCTCACTTTGTTGCCCAGGCTGGAGTGCAGTGGCACCATCATGGCAGCCTTGACCTCCTGGGTTTAGGCGATCCTTCTGCCTCAGTCTCCCGAGTTGCTGGGACTATAGGCATGTGCTACCACTAATTTTTTTGATTTTTTTGTAGAGATGAAGTCTCGCTATGTCTCCCAGGCTGGTCTGGAGCTCCTGGACTCAAGTGTTTCTCCTGCCTCATGCTCCCAAAGTGCTGGGATTATAGGTGTGAGTCACCATGCCCAATCATGAACTCTTTGTTTTTGGGGTTTTTTTGAGTCGAAGTCTCACTCTGTTGCCCAGGCTGGAGTGCAGTAGCATGCTCTCAGCCACCACAGCCTCGACTTGCTGGGCTCAGGCAATCCTTCCACCTTAGCCAAGTAGCTGGGACTACAGGCATGCACCACCACGCCTGCCTAATTTTATTTTTTTGACTTACTGTAGAGATGAGGTTTCATCAAGTTGCCCAAGCTGGTCTCGAACCTGCGGGCTCAGGCAATCCTCTCACTTGGGCCTCCCAAAGTCCACCCATGACTCTTAAGGAAGAAAATGATATATCTTGAGAGTATATCTTTTACTTTTCTAAGTGTATTAAGATCTATTTTTTTAATAGTTAAGGACTGTGATGATGTTTTCTTTTTATCTAGAAGTGTTTTATTCTAGCTTCTGTATTTCTACTTAAGATGTATTGTTTCCTGATCTGATTCAATTTTAGCAGTGAGCATACTTCTACTGGCATTCTACAAATCAGTGAATAATTACTTGTGTACAACTTAACTAGGTAACACATGAGCCACTTGAAGACACAGTACTGATCCTCAAACATTACTAAGAACCTGTCATGTAGTTACACAGTGTTAAGAGGAACAAGTATAACAGGGATACTTCACAAGAAGCTGTTACTTTATGGAAACTTGAATGTTGAATGTGTCATTTTCCAAGAAATATAAGTGGGTTAGAGAATAAGTGAAAGGAATTTAAAGGGACAGAGTCAATTTTCTTATAGATCCTTGACTGGTGATTAACATTCATTGTATTTTAGCCTTCTATTAATTGACAATTGCTTTTTTATTCAAGAGTTGATTTGTGCTTGTTTCCTGTCTGTAGATTCATCAACGTTCATTGAGTGTATTCAGTGCAGAACCTAGATTAATAGAATTCGATTTAAAGTGAAACAGTAAATCATCATGTTTTTGTGTTTACAGTGGGATCATGAAACCTGGCCTTAATGCCATCCTGGGACCCACAGGTGGAGGCAAATCTTCGTGAGTATAACAGAATAAGTAAACTTTTTCTGTGCAGTTTAGTGTGCTTTCTTGAGTCAGAGTATCACTCTGTCACCCAGGTTGGAGTGCAGTGGCATGCTCACAGCAACCACAGCCTCAGCTGGCTGGGCTCAGGCAATCCTTCCACCTCAGTCTTCCAAGTAGCTGGAACTACAGTTGCACGCCTCCACACCTGGTTGTTGTTGTTGTTGTTATTGTTATTATTTGAGTTGGAGTCTCACTAGTCACCCAGGCTGGAAGTGCAGTGGCATGCTCACTGCCACTGCAGCCTCGACCTGCTGGGCTCAGGTGATTCTTCCACCTCAGCCTTCCAAGTAGCTGGAATTACAGGCACGCACTGCCATGCCCGGCTAATTTTTTTATTTATTGTAGAGATGAGGTCTCATCAAGTTGTCCAACCTGGTCTCAAACTGGTGGGCTCAGGCAATTCTCTCATCTCAGCCTCCCAAAGTGCTGGGATTATAGGCGTGAGCCATAGTGCCTAGCCTAGTTTTTAAATTTATTGTAAAGACAAGCTCTTGCCAAGTTGCTCAGGCTGGTCTCAAACTTCTGAACTCAGGCAATCCTCTCGCTTCACCCTCCTAAAATGCTGGAATTACAGGCGTGAGCCACCACACCTGGCCTAGTGAACTTTTCAAACTCTTTTTTTTTCGTAAGCAGATATTTTTTGGGCATTTGCTATGCACGCCTGGTGTGGTTTAGGTGCTATGGATAACAAGCATTAGTGCTAGCTTGTGGTTCTGTCTCAAGGACCAGGACATCTTATTAGGTCACTGATAGGACATGATAAGGTGATTGACATACAGTGAGAGGAAAAGGAGGGTGATAATATGAAAAGTGGGATGATGGAGCAGAAGGTATAAGTGCAGACACAAGTCTTAGATAAAAGAGCACATGGCCTGTGTTGGTACCATGGAGGTCTGACTGCTGAGAGGGCTCTTTGGGAGACCTGTGCTGGATCAGCCAGTGGCATCCTATCCTGCTTTTATGTTTTTGAGTTTTATCATCACATACAGTAAAAAAAGGTACATGAGGATTTGAAAATATATATGATTTTAGTGAAGTTGTATAATTCTTTTTTTTTCTTTGAGTCAGAGTCTCACTCTGTCACTCAGGCTGAAGTGCAGTGGCACGTTCACTACCACAGCAGCCTCGACTTGCTGGTCTCAGGCGATCTTTCTGCCTCAGTCTTCCAAGTAGCTGGAGCTACAGGCATGCACCACCATGCACAACTAATTTTTTGATTTATTGTAGGGACGAGTTCTCCCCAAGTTGCACAGGCTGGTCTTGAACCCCTGAGCTCAGGCAGTCTTCTCACCTCTGCCTCCCAAAGTGCTGGGATTACAGATGTGAGCCACTGTGCCCAGCTGAATCTGTATAATTTCTTGATCAGTTCATTTTCTAACTTGAGCAGAATTTGGATTCAGACTAGTTGAGAGATATAGCCTGTGTTAGAAGGAAAAAACCCATGGTATGTATGATCTGTTGTAGACTTTTGGATGTCTTAGCTGCAAGGAAAGACCCACATGGGTTGTCGGGAGACGTTCTGATAAATGGATCACCCCGACCTGCCAACTTCAAATGTAATTCAGGTTACGTGGTGCAGGTAAGTATTACTGCATTTGCCTTTTTGTTTTCCTCCATTTCTATATGGGTAAGAGCTTCAGCTGATAGTCCAGTGTGCTTCCAATTGACTATATGACATGATCATAGAACCAGTTTTCTTTTCTTTTTTGGGGGTTGGAGTCTTACTCTCACCCAGGCTGTAGTGCAGTGGCACACTCACAGCCACCACAGCTTCAAGCTGCTGGGTTCAGATGATCCTTCTGCCTCAGCCTCCCAAGTAGCTGGAACTATAGGCATATGCCCCCACACCTGGCTAATTTTGTTATTTTTATTTTTTATTGGAGAGATGAGGTCTTGCCAAGTTGCCCAGGCTGGTCTCAGGCCCCCGGGCTCAGGCAGTCGTCTTGCCTCTGTCTCCTGAAGTGCTAGATTACAGGCATGAGCCACCACACCTAACCTAACTTTCTTTCATTTAAAAAAAATTTTTTTGAATTGGAATCTTACTGTGTTACCCAGGCTGGAATGCAGTGGCATGAACCCTATTCACCGCACCTTGACCTCCTGGGCTTAAGTGATCCTTCCACCTCAGCCTCTCGAGAAGCTGTAACTATAGGTGTGTGTCACTATGCCCAGCTAATTCTTTTGATTTTTTTGTAGAGACAGTTTCTCACTATGTTGCTCAGGCTGATCTCAAATTCCTGGGCTCAAGCAATCTTCCTGCCTTGGCCTCCCAAAGTGCTGGGATTACCGGCATGAGCCACTGCCCTTGGCTGGAACCAACTTGCTTTACACCAGCTTTTCATCATCTCCCATAGATTCAGGGTGATGGTAAGTGAAAAGCCTGGGAGGATCTGGAATATGACCCCTGTAATGGCAATGCCATCAATTCTTGGTTTTTATTTGTGTTTTGTTTTTGAGTCAAAGTCTCACTTGTACTCTAGTCTGGAGTACAGTGGCATGATCACGATCACAGCTCACCGTAGCCTTGACCTTCTGGGTTCAGGCAACCCTTCCACCTCAGTCTCTCCCAAATAGCTGGGACTATGGGCACACACCACCATGCCTGGCTTATTTTATTGTAGAGATGAGAGCTCACTGTGTTTGTCCAGGCTGGTCTTGAACTCCTGGCCTCAAGCGATCCTTCCACTTCAGCTTCCCAAAGGGCTGGGATAACAGGCATGCGCCACTGTGCCTGGTCTCAATTCTCTTTTCTGTATTATGCTTCAAAAGATATTACTATTGTCTTTTTTGCCCTTCCTTCCCCTTCTTTTTTCCCCTAGCTTGGGAGTATGTTTTGGCAAATCCTTGTACCAAGCAGTCTGGAAATGTCTGTGGGTAGTCATCATAATTACCTGTGTTCTATTTGGGTGTTCAGATGGGGAGGACATGGTTCCATTAGGCTCTGCAGGTGTCTATGCCCAGGTCTGGTGCTGTTTGTAGAACTAAAAGTTCATCATTAGCAGGGACTTGACCTTGGAGATGTTATCTTTGTGGATTACATTACATAGACTGCAGAGTCGAGGTCTTAGAAACCCATGAGACGTCTTGTTAAAATGTCCTTTTGCCTTAAGGATGACGTCGTGATGGGCACTCTGACGGTGAGAGAAAATTTACAGTTCTCAGCAGCTCTTCGGCTTCCAACAACTATGTCAAACAGTGAAAAAAATGGACGGATCAACAAGGTCATTCAAGAGTTGGGTCTGGATAAAGTGGCAGATTCCAAGGTAATACGGAAAAAATGGATAACATCTCTGCCTGCAGTTGGGACCTTCCCTAAGTGTATAAAACTTTGGGACCCAGAAGTTTCCTGTAATGTGTGTGATCAAAGTGGCTGCTTTCTGTAACAATGACAAAAGTGACTTGTTGCATGACATGATCTGGAAATTAACCTGGAAAATTTTTTTTTTTTTTTTTGAGTTGGGGTCTTACTCTGTTGCCCAGGCTGAAGTGCAGTAGCATGATCATGGCTCAATGAAGCCTCGACCTCCCAGGCTCAGGTGATTCTTCCACCTCAGCCTTCTAAGTAGCTGTGACTACAGGTGCACACTACCACACCTGGCTAATTTCTTACTTTTTGTAGAGACAGGTCTTGCTATGTTGCCCAGGCTGGTCTTAAACTCTTGGGTTCAAGCTAATCCTCCCACCTCAGCCTCCCAAAGTGCTGTGATTATAGGCATTAGCCACCACATCCAGATTCCTCTCCTGTCTTTAGCTCCTGTGGACTGTGATCTCACTATGTCCCTATCTCTTTTGCCTTTCTAACCTTCATATTAAACAGGTATAGCTGTTAAAAGCATGAGCTCCATATCAGATGTACCATTTCTGGGCTGAGCCTCCGTTTACTCATTGAATAAAAGGGAAATGCTTTTCTCCCAGGAATTTGCTTATTTGCTGTTCAGAAAAAAATGCGTCTAATGAGATCAAGTGTCTCTTACAGGCTGGCATGTGTCAGGAGTTCATGCCAGGACTCAACCCAGGAGCACCTGATAGTGCCTGGTTGTTACTGTTGTTAATGGTCATGTCTGCGTTTTAGGTTGGAACTCAGTTTATCCGCGGTGTGTCTGGAGGAGAAAGGAAAAGGACTAGCATAGGGATGGAGCTGATTACTGATCCTTCCATCTTGTTCCTGGATGAGCCCACAACTGGCTTAGACTCGAGCACGGCCAATGCTGTCCTATTGCTCCTAAAGAGGTAAATGCTGTGGGAACATCACTCTTCATCTAACGTCTGGTCACTCCTGAGGGGCAGGTGTTCCTGGTGTAGGGGATTCAGCAGGGATCAAAACAATTTCTTCCTTCTTTGTTGGAAGGAGCAGCCTATCCACGAAATGATAAGTGTTATCCAGAAAAAAGAAGCAGGAAGGCCGGGCATGGTGGCTCATGCCTGTCATCCCAGCACTTTGGGAGGCTGAGGCGGGAAGATTGCTTCAACCCAGGAGTTCAAGACCTGCCTGGGCAACATAGCGAGACCTCATCTCTACATTAAAAGGAAAAAATTCAGCTGGGCTCGGTGGCTCAGCCTGTAATCCCGTGTCTTGGGGAGGCTGAGGTGAGTGGATTGCCTGAGCCCGTGGGTTCGAGACCCGCCTGGGCAACTTGGCGAGACCTCATCTCTACAATAAATCAAAAAATCAGCTGGGTGTGGTAGCGCACGCCTGTAGTTCCAGCTACTTGGAAGGCTGAGGCGGAAGGATCGCCGGAGCCCAGCAGGTCGAGGCTGCGGTGGCCGGGAGCGGCCATTGCACTCCAGTCTGGGAGACAGAGTGAGACTCCGACTCAAAAAAAAAAAAGAAAGAAAATCAATTTCTTTCTTCTTTGTTGGAGAGAACAGTCAATTAACAAATGATGAGTGTTGCTGGGTGCGGTGGCTCACACCTGTAATCCCAGCACTTTGGGAGACTGAGGCGAGTGACTTAAGGGGAGTGAGGTTGGCGAGGACTTATGTTTGCTTGGGCTCTCTTAACAAAATGCCAGGCTGGGCAGCTCATACCACAGAAAGGTATGTTCTTAGAAGAACTCTGGAAGCTGCGGGTCTGAGGTCCCAGTGTCCCAGGAGTGTTCCTTTCGAGCCCTGTCTCCCTGGCGCATCGATGACTGTCATCTCTCCCTGGCTTTCACTTTCCCTCTGTGTGTGTCTTGGTCTTAATCTTCTCTGTCTTTAAGGACACCGTCATGTTAGCTTAGGCAAGGACATACCCCTTGCCATTGAACCTTAACGACTTATTTAAAGGCTCTCCCCAGATCCAGTCACATTCTGATGTTTATGGGAGTTAGGACTTCAACACAGGGGTTTGGGTGGGGAGACACAGTTCAGCCCACAACAGAAGAGGATATGAGATGGAGTTGGCTCAGAGGCAGATTATGGAGGCCTCGTAGGCCATCATAAGAGCCAAGGCTGGTGCTGTTGACGTGATGTGAGAAGCTTCTTCAGAGTTTTATTTCTTTTTTATGGCACTTTGTTTATTTTAATTTTTTTGCAGAAACAAGGTCTTGCTATGTTGCCTAGCCTGGTCTCATATTCCCGGGCAAATAATCCTCCCGCCTTGGCCTCCCAAAGTGCTAGGATTATAGGCCTTAGCCTATGTTAATAACTCCTGCCTATATCAACCACCAGTGCAATGGTTGCCAGACATGTGAGAGTTGACAGTCTACTCTGAGGAAGAGGTTCTTCTCTTTGCTGCTTACTCATGTTCCTATTTTATTGAATACATTGTGATCTGTTTTTTTCTGAATACTTTTTTTTTTTTTTTTGAGTTGGATTCTCACTTGGTCGCCCAGACTGGAGTGCAGTGGCACACTTCCGGCCACCGCAGCCTCGACCTGCTGGGCTCCAGCGATCCTTCTGCCTCAGCCTTCCAAGTAGCCGGAGTTACAGGTGCGCGCTACCACGTCCGGCTGATTTTTGATATATATTGTAGAGACGTGGTCTCGCCAAGTTGCACCGGTGGGTCTTGAACCCGTGAGCTTAGGCAATGCACTCACCTCGGCCTCCCAAAGTGCTGGGATTACAGGCTGAGCCACCGAGCCCGGCCCTGAATACATTTAATGATAAAATTAACCCAGATTTGGCCAGCAGAAGTCCCTGTCATGTGGCTTATGTGTCCCTGACTTTGTGGTCAGTATGATTCCAGGCTCATCTGTGCTTTTCCTGTGTCAGCTGTGTCTCTGAGGAACCCTGGGTCCTTCTGGGGTAGTTAGAAGCCAAGGTGTGAATACACACATGTATGTGTGTGTGTATATGTGTGTGTGTGTGTGTGTGTGTGTGTGTGTGTGTGTGTGTGTAAATACAGGAACATTTCTATGTTATTTGGAAATATATCCTGAATATAAATATGTTGTGTGTATATATGTATATTTGAATTGAAAGACACATGTAAACATACATCTGTAACTATTGCTGTATCTGTTAATGTATATATGTTTTTTTAACTTATTTTTTTGATGGGAAAATATAGTTTATTTAGAAAGTAAATTAGAGAGAGAAAAGATTGACCTCCCCAAGGTAGGGGAGAGGGCCAAACTTTAGAAAAACATGGCGGTGCAAAGAGCCACATGACCTGACCAGATTTTAACAAAGCAACGGCCAATTGTATATATATTTTAAAAGCCCATGTGCTCATAATATCACAGTATTTCTTTCTTTTCTTTGTTTTTGAGTCAGAGTCTCACTCTGTCACCCAGGCTGGAGTGCAGTGGCACACTCATATCTACCTCAGCCTTGGCCTGCTGGACTTGGCCTTCTGCCTCAGCCTTCCAAATAGCAGGAACAACAGACACGCACCACCACACCCACCTAACTTTTTGATTTACTGTAGAGATGCGATCTTGCCAAATTGCCCAGCCTGGTCTCAGGCAATCATCTCACTTCAGTCTCCCAAAGTGCTGGTATTACAGGTGTGAGCCACTACACCCGGCCCTCTTTCTTTTCATTTCTTTCTTTCTTTTTTTTTTTTTTTTGAGAGCAGTTCTCACTATGTTGCCCAGGCTGATCTGGAACCTCAGGGCTCAGACAGTCCTCTGGCCTCAGCCTCCCACAGTGCTGGCCAAGACCTCATTTCTATTAAAAAAAAAAAAAGAGAGAGAATCAGTTCATTAAAGAATTGATTTGAAATACTGTTCATATTTTGAAGTGATTGTCACACAAGCATCCTTCTTCGTGCCAGAGGGCTCTCGGTTCTTCTTAAGCCCCTTTGTGCAGACTCATCACCTGGGGTTTTATTAAGATGCATGTTCTAGCCGGGCTCGGTGGCTCAGCCTGTAATCCCGCACCTTTGGGAGGCTGAGGTGAGTGGATTGCCTGAGCTGCGGGTTCAAGACCCGCCTGGGCAACGAGACCTCATCTCTACAATAAATCAAAAAATCAACCGGGCGTGGTAGCGCATGCCTGCAATTATGGTTACTTGGAAGACTGAGGCGGAAGGATCACCGGAGCCCAGCAGGTCGACATTGCGGTGGCCGGAAGCGGCCACTGCACTCCAGTCTGGGCGACAGAGTGAGACACCAACTCAAAAAAAAAAAAAAAAAAAAAAGATGCATGTTCTGAGACTGTAGGTCTAAAGTGGAGTCAAAGATTCTCTATAGTAGACTCTTTTTAAAAAAATTTTTGTTTTAAAGATGTGGGGTACACGTCAGGATTAGGTATATAAGTGGTCATAAACACACACACACACACACACACACACACACACACACACTCCTCTTGGCTCTGTAACTCTGAGCATCTTGTTTTCAGAGTACACCTATTTCACATTTGTTCACCTTGTTCCTTCGCCTTTGGTCACTCTTCTCTTTCTTCTTAGCTTAGTCCTGTTGAGCCTTTCGATTTTCTACTTATGTTCTCCTCTGACTGGATTGTAAGTCTCAAATTTTGCGTCCAAAGAACCCTTAGCTGCTTCTGTTCCACGTTGTAGTGAAGTTACCGATCTGCTGGTGTGATCCTCTTTGAAAGAGAACACTCTTGTATTCACTACTAGACACAGTAGGTGTTCAGAGAATGTTAAAATTGAAATGATTCTTCTCATAAAATATTTTTAATAGTAGGCATTTTTGAAGTCATTTTGATCTTTGTTTCTTCTGCATGTAGTAGTAACTCCTGTAAGGAGGTAGTTTAGCTCTGTTTTGGCTGTGGAATTGGGCCAGAGATCAAATTCCAGCCCTGCCCCTTCCTGAGTGTGACCCCATGGACAGAAGTTTGACTCATTAGGCAGTATCTGTTGTTTTTTTTTTTTTTTTTTTTTAGTCAATGTCTCACTTTGTCCCTAGGCCCACACGATCCTTTCACCTCAGCCTTCCTGGAACTACAGGCGTGCGCCATCATGCCCAGCTAATTTTTTTTATTTATTGTAGAGACAAGGTCTTGCCATGTTGCCCAGGCTGGTCTTGAACCCACGGGCTTAGGCAATTCTCTTGCCTCTGTCTCCCAATGTGCTGGGATTACAGGCTGAGCCACCGAGCCTGGCCCTCTTTTTTTTTGAGTCAGGGTCTCACCCTGTCGCCCAGGCTGGAGTACAGTGACATGCTCACGACCACTGTAACCTTGACCTGCTAGGCTCAGGTAATCCTTCCACCTTTAGCTGGAACTTCAGGCATATGCCACCATGCCCAGCTAATTTTTTGAGTTATTGTAGAGACAAGGTCTCGTCAAGTTGCCCAGGCTGGTCTCGAACCCCTGGACTCAGGCAATCCTCTTACCCCTACTTCCGGAAGTGCTGGGATTACAGGCATGAGCCACTGTGCCTGGCCAACTTGGGTGTTCTTACAGATAACCTGGAGTGAACATTTAAAAGATGGATTCCCTAGATTCACTCCCAGAGATTTTAATTCAGTGTCTGGGAAGACTATTCAGGAATCTGCACTAAAAATTTTTTGTAGTTTATAAAAAAAAGGTCTTCTTCTCTTTCTTCTTCCTCTCCTCCTCCTCCTTCTTTTTCGTTTTTTAGAGATGGGGTCTTATTCTGCCCCAGGCTGGGCTGCAGTGGCACAGTTATAGCTCACTGTAGCCTCAAACTCCTGGGCTCAAGTGATCCTCCCTCCTCAGCCTCCCAGGAATTCTATATTTTTAATAAACATTCTGGTTGATTCTGGACTGTCAGTACAACCCCCTTTGAAAATCCTTATTCTTTTTTTTTTTAGTTGGAGTCTCACTCTTGTCGCCCAGGCTGGAGTGCAGTGGCATACTCATGACCACCGCAGCCTCGACTTGCTGGGCTTAGGTGATCCTTCTGCCTCAGCCTTCCAAGTAGCTGGAACTACAGACACACGCTACCACACCTGTCTAGTTTTTGTGATTTATTGTAGAGATGAGGTGTCACCAAGTTGCCTGGGCTGGTCTCGAACCCCTGGGCTCAGGCAATCCTTTCACCTCAGCCTCTCGAAGTGCTAGGATTACAGGCTGAGCGACCATGCCTGGCCAAGAATTCCTATTCTTTTTAAATAAAAGCATTGACTTTAGGTTTTGTAACTATCAGATAGATAACTGAAGATGAAAAGCTAGTGAAAGAAAATCAAGTTGAACTAGGAGCAGATGATCTAAAGGCAGGAACAAAGTATTTTTCCAAGAAGCGCACCTTTCAGATGTTTAACGACTCGTTATTTTCTCACTTTTAACTTAGGATGTCTAAGCAAGGACGAACAATCATCTTCTCCATCCATCAGCCTCGATATTCCATCTTCAAGTTGTTTGATAGCCTCACCTTGTTGGCCTCAGGAAGACTCATGTTCCACGGGCCTGCTCAGGAGGCCTTGGGGTACTTTGCATCAGCAGGTATGGTTGACTTTTTCAGGCCCTTTGTTAACCAAGTCCTGAAGGAGGAGAAGGAGGGTTGGCAGAAGCATTGGTGATCTTTGGGACAGACATACTATGACTGTGGGTTCTACCATTCCACAAGGTCTTGGGTCAGTTTGATGCTAGGATTTTTCCTCGTTTTGCAGCACTAGTTTGCTGTTAGGTCTCCTTCCTGTCCTGTGTGAGTCGGCATACATGTGTGTGGGGGGGAGTGTTTCTGTAGGGCCTGTATCTGTTCTGCTTCCCAGTTATGGTGACCATTCTCTGAATGTTCAATAATGTATATGTTGGCCTCATAGCCGGTGACTCTGTCTGTTGAACATTTTTGGAAAGGCCTGATGTCATTGTCACCTTGATGAAGGCTCATGGAAACCTCACTTCCTTTTCTAGTAGCAACAGACTGCAGCTTTAGGCCTTGCACGGGTGTGAGTGGCCTGTCAGTCAATAGAGTGACTGGTCTCAAATCTAACTTAGGTAGACCCACGTTTCTAATACTTCTAGGCTGCCTGGTACTTTCTACTTCAGATGGAAATGGGTGATTTTTATTGTTTAATGACTTGTACAGTCTGTTTCATTTCAGGAATAGTTGGATATAATTTTAGATGATTCTTCTGACTCCAGATATTGTTTTAATGTGCATTAGCTATTTTTCTTAATTTTTTAAATTTTTTCTTGAGTTGGTATCTCAGTCTGTTGCCCAGGCTGGAGTCAGTGGCATGATCACAGCTCACAGCAACCTTGACCTCCTGGGCTCAGGTGATCTTTCCACCTCAGGCATGCGCCACCACACGTGGCTAATTTTTGCATTTTTAGGGTACCCATACTTTACCTGTATGATGACCACGTATGTACCTAACCCTCATTTGTACCCCACATTTTAAAAATAAAATAATTAAAAAAAATTATTTTGGATATTTTTGTAGAGAGGAGGTCTCGCTCTGTGTCCTAAGCTAGTCTCAAACTCCTGGACTCAAGTGATCCTCCTGCCTCGGCCTCCCAAGGTGCTGGGATTACAGGCTTGAGCCTCTGTGCCCTGCCTAGTTTTCCTAATTTTTTTTTTTGTTGTTGTTGTTTTGATCTCTGTCATTTAAAATAATCAAGCTTATCTGGGTCTGGAGAATCCAGGGGACATGATGAAGAGTCAGATTTGAGGTCAAGCTAAATTTAGATGGTCATGCCATAGAAGCTAGGGTAGAGTTCAGGTGTGCTATGCTGGTCATTTTCTCTTGAGAATGCTGCTCAGGGGATTTGTTCTCTATTTGGAATTATGGCAGAATGCCTATGAGCCTAGGCAACATAGTTAGAACATGTCTCTACAGAAAATCCAAAAATTAGCTGATTTGGACCTCTGGTTTTAATACGTGGAGAAGCAATCATCACTAATGTGGCTTCTGCCATTTTGGCATTCCCTAGGTGAACTTGGAGGGCAGAATGCGCCTGGACTTTTGTTTATTTATTTATTTTTTTTAGTTGGAATCTCACTCTATTGCCCAGGCTGGAGTGCAGTAGCATGCTCACGGCCACCGCCAGCCTCGACCTGCTGGGCTCAGGCAACCCTTCTGCCTCAGCCTTCCAAGTAGACGGAACTACAGGTGTGCACTACCACGCCTGGCTAATATTTGATTTATTGTAGAGACGAGGTCTCCCCAAGCTGCCAGGGCTGGTCTCAAACCCTCGGACTCAGGTTGGAATTACAGACTGAGCCACTGAGCCCGGCCTCACTTGGGCTTTTATTATTTTTTTTTCTTGGCCAGGCATGGTGGCTCATGTTCGTAATCCCAGTACTTTAGGAGACCAATGCTAGAAGATCACTTGAGCCCAGGAATTTGAGACCAGCCTAGGCAACATAGTTAGAGCATGTCTCCACAGAAAATCTAAAAATTAGCTGGGTGTGGTGGCACACGCCTGTAGTCTCTGCTACTTGGGAGGCTGAAGAGGGAGGATTGCTTGAGTTTAGGAGTTTGAGGTTGTGCTGAGCCATGATTGTGCCATTGCACTCCAGTCTAGGTGACAGAGTAAGATCCCGATTCAAAACAAGAAAAAAAATGTTTTTTCTTGGATCTCTATTCAGATTTTTGAGGAAGTACTGCTAAGTACGAGAGCAAACTGATAGTTATTTCAGGTATCATGAATCATGACAGCTAAGGACCAAACAGTGATGTAAGACATCCTGAGACTAAGATTGTTATGATGGAATATGTAAGAAGAAAGTAAATTAGTGTGGGGAGAAAAGAGAAAGAAAGAGTGGGATCCTGTTTTCTCTGGGTTTACCTCCCTGGCCCTCTGATCACGAGTCCTCATTATCTTTCAAGACCATCAAGTTTGTGTTCTCGGCTGCCTTCTTTTGCAGGTTACCACTGTGAGTCCTATAACAACCCTGCGGACTTCTTCCTGGACGTCATTAATGGAGACTCCTCGGCTGTGGTCTTAAACAGAGAGGAAAACTGTGAAGGTGGGTGGATCTGTGAGATTCACAGACAGTTGCAGACTTTGTTTTTTAGTGGTTCTGCTTAGCAGCACACGTCTGACCTGGCTGAAGTTTAGCAGGGCGGTGGCTCATTAAAGCCTAGATTCATGAATTTAGGTTAATACTGTCTTCTGATACCAGTAAACATGGATTCTGTTGTCCATGAGTGCCACTGGTGTTTTTGATTTAATTTATAACGGAGAAGTTAAGGCCAGGCATGGTGGCAGAAGGATCATCTGAGCCCAGGAGTTCCAAGCTGCAATGAGCCATGACCTTGCCACTGCACTGCAGTCTGGGCCACAGAATGATACTCTGACTCAAAAATAAGTAAATAAATAAATGAGAATTTATATGATATTGTCAGTTCTGAGGGGGAATTTTCATTAAAAGAATAAATATGCTCATTGTTTATGTAGTGTGTTTAAGAAAATAGACTTGGCACTTTATGCATATATATGCACATAGTAGGAAGCAAGGACCAGATTTCTTTTTTTTTGAGTTGGAATCTCACTCTGTCGCCCAGACTGGAGTGCCATGACACGCTCACCTCCACCGCAGCCTCGACTTGCTGGGCTGCAGCATCTGCCTCAGCCTTCCAAGTAACCGGAACTACAGGTGCATGCTACCATGCCCAGCTAATTTTTTGATTTATTGTAGAGATGAGGTCTCACCATGTTGCCCAGGCTGGTCTCAAGTCAGTGGGCTCAGGCAATCCTCTCACCTCGGCCTCCCAGAGTGCTGGGATTATAGGCGTGAGCCACCGTGCCCGGTCGACCAGATTTTTATATTAAGAATTATAAGCCAGGCTCGGTGGCTCAGCCTGTAATCCCACGCCTTTGGGAGGCTGAGGTGAGTGGATTGCCTGAGCCCGCGGGTTCGAGACCCGCCTGGACAACTTGGCGAGACCTCATCTCTACAATAAATCAAAAATTAGCCGGGCGTGGTAGCACGCGCCTGTAGTTCCAGCTACTTGGAAGGCTGAGGCGGAAGGGTCGCCGTAGCCCAGCAGGTCAAGGCTGTGGTGGCTGGGAGCGGCCACTGCACTCCAGTCTGGGTGACAGAGTGAGACTCCAACTCAAAAAAAAAAAAAAGTACTCTGTATAATAAGAAGTTTATTTTAAAAGAATTAGGACCCAAATAGGAAAATGTTAGTGGGTTTGCTGTGTCAGTAAGACCATGGCAGTGGTTAGCCTGTCTTGTATTTTTTTCTAATGTGTAAACAGTGACAGAACTAATAATTTTTTTATACTAAAACTTTATGATTAAGGTTTAGGGGGGGGAATCCAAGAAAGGGGCACAGAAAAATGGACGAAGTCAGTTGTTACCTTTTTCATAATGTTTCCCTCTGTATCCACTTTTATTCCAAAGACACGATGACCGTGAACTCTTCCAAGAGAGACAAGCCACTCATAGAAAAATTTGCTGAGTTTTATGTTGACTCTTCCTACTACAGAGAGACTAAAGCTGAACTAAGTCAAGTTTCAGGGAACCAGAAAAAGAAGAAGACCACAGTGTTCAAGGAGGTCACCTACGCTACTTCCTTCTGCCACCAGCTCCGATGGGTTTCCAAGCGGTCATTCAAGAACTTGTTGGGGAACCCCCAGGCTTCTATAGCGCAGGTAAGAGACAGATTCTCTTGAAGTCCTCCTGTGGGAACAACTGGGTTCTCATTTAATCTACTTCAGGATTTTTGTTTTTGAGTTTGATCTCTGTCACCCAGGCTGGTGGGCAGGGTATGTCAGGGTCACCACACCCTCTACTTGCTGAACTCAGGTGATCTTTCCACCTCAGTCTTCCATGCCTGGCTGATTTTTTTTTATTTATTGTAGAGACAAGGTCTTGCTATGTTGCCCAGGCTAATCTCAAACTTCTGGGCTCAAGCAATCCTCCCGCCTCAGCCTCCCGAAGCACTGGGATTACAGGAGTGAGTAACTATGCCCAGGATTATGTTTATATTCTAACCAGTTATTTGTTATTCCCAGTCTATTTGGGATATAGAAGCAGTGAAAAAGTAAAATACAATTTAGTTTTTACTTTCGGAAAACTCCCTTTTTTAATGGTTTTGCTTAGCAGCTCAAGTCTTGTTCAGATATTAATTTTAATTTAATTTTATGTATGTATGTATATATGTGTGTATGTATTTATTTATTTTTATAATCAATATTTTTTATTATGATATTGTGGGGTACAGTTAAGGGTTAGGTATACAAATATGCTTCATTCAGGCACCCTTACTGATTGTATTTATTTATTTTGAGTCGGAGTCTCACTCTGGCACCCAGGCTGGAGTGCAGTGGCATGCTCACAGGCCACCGCAGCCTCAACCTGCTGGATTCAGGCGATCCTTCCATCTCAGCCTTCCAAGTAGCTGGAACTACAGGCGTGCACCACCACGCCTGGCTAATTTTTTGATTTATTGTAGAGATGAGGTCTCCCCAAGTTGCCCGGGCTGGTCTTGAACCCCTGGGCTCAGGCAATCCTCTTGCCTCTGCCTCCCAAATTGCTGGGATTATAGGTGTGAGCCTCTCTGCCCAGCCTATTTTATTTATTTTTGAGTTGTCGTCTCACTCTGTTACCCAGGCTGGAGTGCAGTTGCATGATCGTGATGATCACGGCTCATCACAACCTCATTCTTTTGGGTTCAGGTGATCCTTCCACCTCAGCCTTCTGAGTAGCCAGGACTACTAGTGCATGCCACCATTCCCTGCTGATTTTTTAATTTTTCTGTAGACACTAGGTCTTGCTATGTTGCCCAGGCTGATCTTGAACCCCTGGGCTCCAGCAGTCCTCTCACCTTGACCTCCCAAAGTTACAGGGGTTATAAGCGTGAACCACCACACCCAGCCTAATCAGATTTTTTTTTTTTCCTGGGCTCTGGCAATCCTTTTGTCTCAGCCTTCCAAGTAGCCGGAATTACAGGCATGCGCTACCATGCCCGGCTGATTTTTTGATTTATTGTAGAGATGAGGTCTCGCTGCCCAGGCGAGTCTCGAACCCGCGGGCTCAGGCAATCCACTCACCTCAGCCTCCCAAAGGCGCGGGATTACAGGCTGAGCCACCGAGCCCGGCTGCTAATCAGATTTTTAAAAACTGGAATGTTAGTTTAAGGTAGAACTTCTTTTACAAAGGGCCAGATAGTAGATATTTTAGGCTTTGCAGACCAAGTGATCTTAGTCTCAGGTTGTCAACTCTATTATTTATTTTAGTGTGAAAGCAGTCATAGTTAATACACAAACAAACATCACAGTGTTTCAATAAAACATGATTCATGGGCACTAAAATTTTAATTTTATATTGCAAGAAATATTATTATTCTTGACATTTTTTCAGCTGTGCCAGGCACAGTCACTTACACCTGTAATCCCACTACTCTGGGAGGCTGAGGCAGGAGGATGGCCTAAGTTCAAGAGTACAAGACCAGCCTGGGCAACATAGTGAGAGCTCATCTTTGCAAAAAATTAGCTGGGTGTATTGTCACATGCCTGTAGTCCCAGCTACTCAAGAGGCTGAGGCAGAAGAATTGCCTGAGTCCAGGTGTTTGAGACTGCTTTGAGTCGTGATCATGCTACTGCACTCAAGCCTGGGTGATAGTGAGATCCAAACTCTAAAAAAAAAAAAAGAAAGAAAGAAGTGAAAACCATTCTTAGCACATGAGCTGAACAAAGATAGGTGATTGGCCCTATTTGACCTGAGGGCCATAACTTACTGACCCTTGGTTTAGGGTTTTAATCTTGTATGTTGTCTTACTTCTCTATGAACATGGGGTTTTTAAAATGTTTTATGGCTTTCTTCTGATAGATCTTGTGTCTATTGGTTTACGCCTGTACTTTGGTTTAAGTTAGTTATTTCTTTTCTTTTCTTTTTTTTTTTTTTGAGTCGGAGTCACACTCTGTTACCCAGGTTGGAGTGTTGACCAGGCTGGACTGTGGTGTCATGAGCACAGCTCACAGCAGCCTCAACCCCCTGGCCTCAGGTAACCCTTCCACCTCAGCCTGCTGAGTAGCTGAGACTATGGCATGTGCCACTAGGCCCAGATAATTTTTTGATTTTTTGTAGAGATGAGGTCTCTCTATGTTGCCCAGGCTGGTCTTGAATTCCTGGGCTTATGCAATCCTCTTGCCTTGCCCTCCCAAAGTGTTGGGAATATAGATGTGAGCCACCATGCCCGACCGTTATTTCTTTATATGATTCAAACTTGGCCTTTGATAATGATAATTTTTGGCATCTTCCAAAAGATGCATTTGGAAAAATCTTGGAATGAATGGATTATACATATGAGAAGATTGAGTGTTCCCATAATGTGCCAGGGGTTTCCTGAACAAAACAATTCAGAATTGGACAGGGTCTGCATGCTCCGTTGTGCAATGTTTAGTATGCCTGTTTGTTTTATTTTCCTTAATGCAAGAAATAATAACACAGGCACACCTTGTAAAAACATGCCAGGGACTCAGGGATTCATTGTTTTGTCAATAGGTTGAAAGCTGACTTTGAAAATTTAGAACTTTGAAATCGTTAGGAAACATCCTAATCATAATACTCTGAATGTTAGTATAAGATAACAAGTTTGAACGCAAAAGAAACAAAGCACGTAGAATGTCCAGTTGGAAAGAGCTGGATATTCTTAAAAATACGCTGGGTATGGGTGGCTTCCACCTATAATCCCAGCACTTTGGGGGCCCGAGGTGAGAGAACAGTGTTCATGACATTGTGTCAAGGGTTTCCTGAACAAATCAGTTCAGAATGGATTTGAAAATGAAATTTACCCCGTAAGCATATTTTTTTTGGTCGGGGTCTCAGTTTATTGCCCACGGGGTTGAGACCAGTCTGGGCAACTTGGCGAGACCTCATCTCTACAATAAATCAAGAAAAATGAGTCAAGCGTGGTGGCTCATGCCTGTGGTTCCAGCTACTTGGAAGGTTGAGGTAGAAGGATCACCTGAGCCCAGCAGGTCGAGGCTTCAGTGGCTGTGATCGTACCCCTGCACTCCAGCCTGGGTGACAGAGTGAGACTCTGACTCAAAAAAAAAAAAGTTATACTGTCTGAAAATATAAACTCTTATGTACACATGTGTGCATGCATGTTCATGTAGAGTCATCAGCATTTATTGGGTAACTTTGTTGAAATTCTGAGGGTAATAAAAATATGTCCGGGTAGTGGATTTCTTTTTCAAAATTTTTAACTGAATTTTCAAAGACATTCCATAAGAGAAACATTTAAATAGAAGTCTAGGATTTTTCACAAAGTAATCATCACAGATTGCGATCCTGTTTTTTTCACTTTGGTTTGCTTCATGCCAAAAGTGGTCTTGATCAATTACTTGAAATCTTGATACCACTGGAGTGTTGTAAGGTCGAGATTTTTTTTTTTTTACTTTGGAGGTTCCAAGATATGGTAGGATATTTTGTTTCTTTAAATTACCATTTCTCATATTTTTATATTTAACCCACAAATAATTGTAAGTTGAATTTCCTCAAATTCTATCATAATGTAACCCTTGACTTGTTGAAGTGTCTTTTTTTTTTTTTTTTTGAGTCAAGGCCTCACTCTATTGCCCTGGCTGGATTGTGGTGGCAAGATCACAGCTCACTACAGCCTCACCTCCTGGGCTCAGGCGATCCTTCCAACTCAGCATCCTGAGCAGCTGGGACTACAAACACACACCACCACACCTGGATAATTTTTTTTTGTTGATGTGTATATGGAGACCAGGTCTTGCTATGTTGCCCAGGCTGATCTCAAAATCCTGGGCTCATACTCCTCCTGCCTCAGCCTTCTAAAGTGCTGGGATAACAGGCATGAGCCATTGCACTCAGCGAGATTTTTTATTCAAAGACACCAGAGCAGTGTTTGTCTAGTCTTCTTAGGAGCCATAAAAACAGGTGAGTGGTGAAGATGGGTGAGAACTGGCAACTGCAGTCTCCAGTGTTGGCTGCGGGCCTCACTGGCTGAGATTGGAAAAACAGTGACCCTGGGAGAGTGCAGAGAAAGCTGTCTGAATGCAATGGTGACAGTGACAGTGCACTTTTTCAGTGCAGACCTGGACTCCCCAAAGGTCGACTAGGAGGGTCCCAGCTCACCCTTGCTTTCTCATTTGGCAAAATTCCATTGTTAGAATTTTTATGTGTGTGCTTTCAAAGTTTTATTGTTTTTAATGTTGAAAATAGAGATTGCCTTTGAACCTCTTGCAGCATAAAACAATGCACATTCATTGGCACAAAGGTTGCGAGTTCAGTTCAGGTCAAAACTCTCAGCTGCTTGGACTTTGATCCCCAGAACGACCTTGCCAGGCGCTTGCGTTGCTCTGCAACCCCGGGTGGCATCCACAGGCCGTGTAGCCTGAAGCAGGCCTTGAACTGAGTGCCTGGTGGTGCACTGGTAGGAACACTTGCTTTTCCAGGTCGCTGCTTTGCTGGCCTGCCAGTCTCCCCAAACCACAGATAACTTAATCTGGAAAGCTGACTAAATGATATACACACTTATATTTTCCCAGGGACATGAGCCAAGCGGTTGAGCATTTAGCCCCATGAAGAGATCTGATTATGTAGCTGCATATGATATTTTTTTTTCCAGTAGCTGCATATATTATACGAATAAATGGTGTGTGTGAATTCTTGCCGCTAATTGAAACTCTTTCCTTTTTCTTTTTGAAAAGCTAATTGTCACAACTATACTGGGACTGGTTATAGGTGCCATTTACTTTGGGCTCAAACATGATTCTACTGGAATTCAGAATAGGTAAGTAAATATGGATCTTGATTGTGAGGAAGTGCTATTACTTTCTTCAATCTTGTGACAATCCATTAAGAATTTGAATGTAGCCGGGCTAGGTGGCTCAGCCTATAATCCCACGCCTTTGGGAGGCTGAGGTGAGTGGATTGCCTGAGCCCGCGGGTTCGAGACCCGCCTGGG